TCAACATGTCAGATATGAAGACCAAGATGGTGTGGCCCCCAGTATGGTCGCAGTCTCCTTTTGATGCATAAAATTGGGTTGACTTCGTTTTCTCAACTTGGTCTTGTTGTCAGGACGACTTAGTAGAACACAACTCGTCCGAAGTAGCTATTCTAATTCCCAGCATCAGACAGTTGACTTGGTACATTCGCACACGTTTCACCGGCATCCTCGGTCAGTTTTGCCATTCTCCGCACCAACCTACGAACTCGTCAAAGAGACAAGTCAAGTGACATGACGGACGAACGCTCAGAAAGGATTGACCGCGGTCGCAGAGCGCTGCGCCAACGATCTATTAGCACAAATCTACAGCCACACCTCCAAGGCAACCCACCCACGGCCTCCGGTGGAACCGACCTACGCAACCCTTCCACTCGCCCCATTGAACCTCAAAGGAGGATTGGCTGGTGCGAGCGAATTCTCGACTCACCGACCTGCGATAGCGATGCTCCTGTGCAGGACGGTCAGCTGACGACTTCTTCGTACGTCAGTCTTGCCATCAGTTTTCCTTACACGTCAGTCAATCCTCCGTTGCTTTCGGATGTGACCATTTCACGAAGTCCTTCCTACCAACTTTTTTCACACGAACTGCAAAGCCATGGCACAATAAATGGCTAAGAGAGTCTTCATATGCTCGTTTTTTCCCCACGAAAAATGCATCCCATCAGCATGACCTGGGTGTGTTTAGCCTCGAATCCTTGTGAGCACATCGAGAAGTGTATAATTTGAGCCTTAACAAATTAGTGAGTATAGACGAATGCAAGAGTTGTCTGTCTCTCGCAAATTGTTGGCACAAAATGCGTTTCACGTCTGCTTCAACATCTACGACCTGGCAGCCGGGCAGCTGGGCTGAATGAGGCAAAGTGACAAAAACAAAGATGCATACCGCAAGTGTGGAATGGCTGCAGAAGACTGGCCGGCCGGCAGGCGCGAGTGTGACAAGGTGGGCCGGCCAATCGCCCCTTCGGCGGAGTCTGTACTCGCGGAGGGTGGCTGCATGTGGACGGGAAGAGTATGTACAACGGTCGAGGTGGAGGATGGCCTTGTCGACGCTGCGCCAGGACAGGACGGACGAGGTGATATGATGACGGGGGCAGCAGTGAAGTCGCCGCGGCGTGGGGCGCAGAAAGCGAGGAAGCGCTGCCGGTGATGGTGTGAATCAGCTAGAAACTCCATTCAAGCGAACAGTTGTCGGGCATGCCGGTTGGTACGTGGAGACGGGAGGCAAAAGACGATATGGCGGCCGGAGCAAGGGCTGGAAAGGAGAGCGAGAAGATGGAGAAGATGCGAATGCAACAATGGCTCTTCAAGGTGACCACGTGTTGGGGTCAAGATGAAAGTGTGGAGGAGGAGAAGAGGAGACATGCGAAATGGGTTTTTTGTCGAGTTCCATGCAATAAGATATATGAGATATATTCAGCCTATTTGGG